CTCAACTCAACACCAATTTCATTCAAGAAATACAATATATTTGTATATATATATTTATTTATTAATTAAAACAAATATGTCATTGAACGGCGAATTTTTTAAATTTTTTATTTTAGTTCTTCATTTTTTCTCGAAAAAATAAATGCATCCAATATTTGCGTGTATCATTTGATTAAATAAACACAATATCCCATGAAGAACATCTGTGATCAACTCACTGAACATATAAATAAACAAATCAATATTGTTTCCTCAAAAAAAAGAAAAATAATCCGAAAGTTTCAAATTTCCCGCTCGCTACTTAAAATAAAACACACCATAACAAAAACAAAACAAGTTGACAAATTAAAACAAGAATTAAACACGATCAAAGTTAACAACAAATTAAAAACAACAATGCAAAACATGATTTGTTCAACTGTTGTTGTTTGCATGTTCAATTTTTTAATTGTCAGATAAGATTACTTACTTCTTGTTGTGAAATTATTGACAAATGAGGATGTATGTACAATTCGGTGTTCAATGTCCAATGTTTCTCAATGTGGTTTTAGTCTTTAAAGTAACACAATGTTACCAATGACCAATAATTTGTTCCTAACCACAATTAGTGTAGGTGATTGATGTAAGACTTAGAAGCAAGATATTGTATAGACAGTGATCCACAAATGATATCTACTTACTGACTGATAGTCATAATTCAATCTCACAGACAGCTGATTCTGAAGATGTTATCGATTGTCGAAACTGAGTAATAAATGCTTGGGCTTAAAGATTGTTTACTAGGTGTAACTAAGTTTTACCGATGATCTTGGAATAAATCTGATAACCTTAAGAAAATTTGTGCAATTATTAGCCAGTCGGATTGTTGGGGATCCCCAGAACTCACTTGAGATAAAGGTCCTGTTGAGGATGTTAGATCCCCAAAATTCGCTTGATAAATACCTTATTTTGGTTTTTACGTTTGCGAGCATGGGCTAATCACCTGACCTTGAGATTTTATTTCCCAGCAGGAAAATCCATGGCTGTGATTGGCTGCGGAGTATTTTAGTGTGCTATTTTCTTAACTGTCTCAAGGACGTTTCTATGTAGTATAAATAAACGAGAGTTGTATGCTTGATTGTACTGTGATTGCTGGGTGTTTGTAGAATATACTTTCTACGCTTACAAAGCCTTTTTACTCTATTTCGGGATTCAAGGTAGCCTACCTGGACGCTGGTAATTGTCTCGTTCGCGTTTATCGACTAAGGTAAACTCCTAATAGCCTCAAGCACACTAAGTGACGAGCGTAACAGGTCCTAATTTTGGAATTTATGCTTTCGCGCAGGAGCTGTGATCAGTTGACCTTGAGATTACATTTCCACTCGGAAAATCCTTGACTGTTATTGGTTGATGTATTATTTTAGTATGCTATTTTTGTGGCTCTCTCAATGGCGTTTCTATCATGTATAAATAAACTCGATTTGTCAGCTTGTCAACCTCATCTTTTCTGGGTGCATGTCGAATACACTATCTACGTATTGTCAAGACTTCTCCCTCTACTTACTGGGGCCTTCCGAAGCTCTAATTGAGTAGCCTATCGTGTCACTGGATCATTTGTCTTGGCTCTCGTTTACCGACTAAGGTGAATTAATAGCATTCAAGCATATCAATTGATGAGGATAACACCGATTACGTAAGCAAAAAATCTATCTGTAGAAAGCTAATTACATTTTAGAAGATGAAGTACGTAGATGGATAGACTCTATAAATTAAAACATTCTTACATTGTCATATGACTGTATGAAAAAATTGCTTGTTATGATTTGCGGATCCAGAGATTTGAACATTGACATGTACTAACCTCCCAAACTGGTTACTTGAGTAAGAAGGCATGAGCAGAAATAAAATGTCAATTAAGCTACCGAGTAGTAAGCACAATTGCCTACCTTCGTAGAAAAGGAAGTCATTTTTGGACTAATGATATATATTCAACCTTGAGCACTTTTTTTCTAAAGGCCATTTTGTTCAGTTTTCAACTTATCAGCTGTAGATACTTGTATCTAAAAGGTAATGTCTGTAGGATCCAAATTGAGGTTTGGATTGAGGAATAACTGTCTAGGTAGTTTAGATATGCGCTTTGCCCAGTTTAAAAATCAAAACAAGTGATTTGGGTGAATGACGGTTCTAATATTCATTATAAATATAAGTATACATCATTATCTAAACAGATATTACCACTCAATTATTCCACCAACAATTGTTCAATTATTCAAATCAACAACAGCAACAAATAAATGTTATTCTATCCCTCCTGGATAGATCAGATTCCTTCAAAAGATAATATTTGATCTCGTTATAACACAGAGTGTCAATGCAAGCAACCCAATCAAAAGAAGAACAAATCAATATGGCTGTCACCATGACTAATAAGGATCAGCTTAAACAACATAAATACAGTTTAGAAAGCAACATAGGAACTCAGTGAAGGCACAAAAAATAGAAACTATAATAAAATACAACTATTATCATCATGTCAAAATGGAATCGAACAGATTAACAAAATGTATAACCGAAGGAATCAATAAGGACAAATTACAAATGTATATATGGAGGGATTTTCACAAACAAAACCTTCAAAACTGGATCTTACATGTGAACTCCGGGATTGAGACTCAACACTGTGCATTTCAAAGTGGATAACGTAATCGTATTTGTAACGAACAGTACTAGGTTCGACTCCTGGCGACAACCGTAACTTGAAGACACAGATACATTCAGCTACAGGCAAGCCACAAATATATATATATATATATATATATATATATATATATATATATATATATATACCAAATGGGACCGATCAATCCCAGCTTTTATTGATTTTCATTCAATGGCTCTTGGATAACTATGTATTAAGTGATAGTAAACTCATTTATATTACATAATCATTAATCGTTAATCGATTAATATTTTGAGTATTAGCTCCGCCCTTAAAAGCCCTTAGTGGTCATCCTTACCACCGGAGATGGAAATCCGTGAGGTGTGACATTTTTACGGTCGACCTTTTCTAACCCTTCCTTCATTGTGAGAAGGCGGCATCGCTGCACATGCTGGTTGTCCGAGGGAAACACCTTACTGCCATCACACCACTCTGCAGTCAGAAGTACGACTTCACCCTCAGACCTTGATTAGATGCTTTTAGTCTTATCGTTCTCCAATCGACCTGCGTGGCATAGTAGAACCTTCAGGATATGGTTTTACCCCTCGAAATGCAAATTTTTCCATGAAGCTAGGGTCGCATTGGCATCTGAAATAGTGATAGGGAGTTGCAACATGAGATGGATTGGATATTGTTTCCTGAATGCTGTATTTTTAAATACATCACAACTCATTGATATTGATCAGAAGAGAAGAAGTCCCTGTCGCGTATGAGGCAGTTACCGAACGAAGATAACAGGTAATGGTCACGCAATATCCTTGGATTGATTGAAGTTAGACATTAACAGCATTGGATACTTGACTCAATGGTGAAAAGTTTAGGCTATTGCTCACAAGAGAAAGTCCTGTGGCTGAAATGAGCTTGCAGAGGTTATGAATGTGCTCCCATGATGAAGCCCATACTAGAACAAAACGGCAATCTTATGTTTCTAGGTTTCTAACATTGATCTATACATGGTCCCAAAGAAAAAATCCTATTCACTAATCAATAGATCCGAGATTCGATATCATTTCTTGTAGTTAATCTTTTTTTTAAAATTCGTCCCGTCTGTTTTTATGATGCGATCAGCTCTCATGAATTTCACTCTTATCATCAGTTTGATTTTGATGCAGAGAAAGAGATTATATCCTGTAGTGTGTGTGTGTGTGTGTGTGTGTGCAAGATGTTGAGGCTATAGGGCTATTTTCAACCTTTGGATATATCATTCAACCTTGCCAATGATTTGTTCATAACCTTGGTTGTTTTGATTCGAGTGTATATGTGTGCATGCTTTCCGCGCTTACTACATGTCGGGTTTATTTTTGTCTGACTATAAACATTCAGTTATCTCTCATTACATTAGGTTGACTCACTTGCCTTCTCCACATCCATTCGCCTTACTTGTACGCTTGAATGATCATCCAATTGAAATCCGTATTTGTCGCACAAATAAGGTGTGCCTAAATAATGATATGCGGATTGGCAAAGCAAGCGCAGCATTTCTACAGTTGAAAAATATCTGGAACTCCAAACAACTTTCAACCAAAACCAAAATCAGGATTTTCAATACAAATATCAAGACAGTTTTACTGTATGGAGCGGAAACTTGGAGAACTACGAAAGGCATCATCCAGAAGATACAAGTGTTTATTAACAGTAGTCTATGCAAAATACTTCGGATTCGTTGACCGGACACCATCAGCAACAACTTATTGTGGGAGAGAACAAACCAGATTCCAGTGGAGGAGGAAATCAGGAAGAAGCGGTGGGAGTGGATAGGACACACACTACGGAAAGCACCTAACTGCGTCACGAGAAAAGCCCTCAGATTGAACCTTCAAGGCAAAAGGAATAGAGGAAGGCCAAAGAATACATTACGCCGAGAAATAGAGAAAGATATGAGAGGAATGAACAAACATTGGACAGAACTGGAGAGGGAATCCCAGGACAAAGTTGGTTGGATAAAACTGGTGTTCGGCTTATGCTCCATTGGGGGTAACAGGCGTAAGTAAGTAAGTAAGTAAGTAAGTAAATAATGATATTCAGAAATTAGAGATAGGATCTATTTCATTCACCTACATTAATCATTCCTGCAAACTGGAATCAATTCATGGGGCCACTAAAAAAACCCCCTTACATCACTGTCAAAAGAACAAAATTCTGCAAGTTGTATATTTGTATTCCAAAAAAATGAATCACAGGAAATGTGAACATTTCATAAATAATTGACCGCCAATATTCATTTTAAACTATTCAATGAAATTCAGTCTATTTACATGATAAAAAATGCATATGATCTATTGAAAATTTGAACAAATTTTGTTTAGGAATATTGTAGAATTGATTTATTGTGTAGCTTGGTTGGATGGAATTCCAATGGAATGTCTATTTCATTGTTATGTAACTTATCAACGATAACTTCAGTTTTCTCATCATCATTGTGACTATAATGTGGATGTTGTTGATCTGACCTGATCGTCATTGTTGTGCGAATTGTGGCATCATCACCATCAACATCACTGTCAACATCATCAACACCAACACCAACGTCCACATCAACATCACTGTGATTCAGATGATGATGCTGATGTTGATGGTGATGATCGATCAGATTGACCACATTGAAACTGACGTTGATTGGTGGATGGCTGGTTGCTGGTGAATGTGATCTAGTGCTGACAGGATCAAGTGAAGGATGGGATGAATTCGTATAGTGAACATTGTCATCAAAATGATGATGGGGATAATGATGACGATCGGTGACAGTAGTACTGATGGGAATATGATTAGTAGTAGTGGAAGTATGAGTAGTATGTGTACTGGTAGTGGTATTTGTAGTTGATTGTGTAGTTGACAATAGAAATTTATCAGGTGTAGACAGATCGTGCTGCAGGTGAGATTGAATGTATAAATGATGATTGTTGAGTAAATGCATCAAGTTGATGTAGAAGAGCTCCATCAATGTGTCATTGGTGCAATTCGATTTCAATGGTGGAGTGGTGAGGTCGAGTGATTGGATAGATTGTGTGGAGGTAGTGGAAGTGTCTGTCCGACTTGTTGACGATGCATTGATCAATGCTTGGTGATGAGGTAGGAATTGTGAATTGTGTGTGGATGTGAAATGTGATGGATTGAAGAGGAGAGGAGTAGTGATGTTTGTTGGATTGTTTGTGGAGTGATTGTGATTGGTCGGAGAATCAGTCAATCGATCTAATGTAGATATGTGTGAATTAATGAGTGGATGTGTGTTGAGTGTTGGAGAGGAATTGGTTGTGAGTGTTGACCTCATCGATTGATATGTGGATATGTGTGGATGTAGACGATGGAAGAGTGGTGGGAGTATTGAGGAGGGATTCGATGACAGAGTGTCTTGATCATCGACACCAACATCACCATCACGATCCTCATCATCATCTTCATCGTCATCATCATCGTCATCGTCTTGCTTATGCAGTTTATCATCAGGACGACTGAGACCGAGTGCACGACGTACTTTACGTTGTGCTCTACGTCTTCTGAAATCACCACTGAGAAAATCTTTCAAGTTAGCTGGATGTATTCCCCAATAATGTCCTTTACCATTTGCAGCTCTACCTGTCAAATAATGTGAATGTACAATGTGAATTATTCCTACGTTACATTTCTTATTTTGTGAATGACAAATTACATGAAATACACACAAGTAGGTTGTATGAAATCAAATTCATAATATTCGGTTTTTTATGATATTTGTGAATGTGAGTTGTGTAAATCACAAAATAATCTTCCACGTAATCTTTTTTTAAGACTGGAATATGTTCACTGGTTAACAATAATATGAATGGAGTACATCCTACTACACATACTACTGATGGTAGTTAGTGTTGATGATCATGTATGTCACTTTGTACATTCCATACAAATCACACTATCATCTATCTACATTGGACTGTAATTTATTGTGATAAATGGGAGTGAGTGAGTGTGCGACACTGATGTGCAGCTGGTTGGTTGAAAATGTTGGTGAGGTTTCGTTTTCTGATGTCGATGTTTTGGTTGTGGAACTTTCACCATTCATCTGAACAACATCTTCAGCACAGACATCAGAATAAAGTGAAGTATTCTGATTTTTCAACGATTGACTCGTAGCTTGTCTTGGTGACCTCGATCCTGTTTCGCTTTTAATGACCACCAAGCTGCTATATCAGCTCCACAACCTAAACATCTAGCATACAGAACGAAACTCCGCTATCATCATCCACGCACGATACAAACAAGTGGTTTACCATATTTCAAACGGTCATCAGAAAACAGTTGAGAATGACATGGATCCACCAGAGTTGGTTGACATTCATCAACATTCATGACTGATATGAATGAGATATTCCCACAGAATCATCACTCACTCAACATCTTCAATATCATCATCACTCTTTCCCCTTTTGAATCTCACTGAACAAAACACTGTATCCTCTTCATGGAATGAATGAGAGTGAGCTACAGGTTTTTATTTTCCACTGTAACAGCAACAAATTCATATGTGCACATAAAAAAATTCATCACATTTTCAACAAAAACTTACCAACTTTAATAAAACAATCATTCAATGATAAATTATGTCGAATGGAATTTCTCCATCCTGGACCACGTGAACTGAAATATGGATAACGTAGTTGAATCCATTGATAAATTTCTGACAATATCATACGTCTTTCTTGTGTACTGAGAATGGCTTTAGCAATTAAACCTACAAAATATGAGAGATTAAAATGTTATGGGGAATGAACAGAAGTGGCATTGTATTGAAAAATGACAAGTCAACTCAGTTAGTTAGTTAGTTATTTGCCTAGAACCACAATCACTATCCTTTCTGGTTGGATTACATGAAACTGTAGAGATCGTTTCCTCATCTAGATGACTGTCTATTCGAGTGTGAGTGTGCATTCAATAAATTTGTGAGCCAAGTATGTCAGCGAAAAAATAACAAACCAACCATAGTGAAAGTGATGCCGTATTGAGAACACAGTGAAGTTGGATGTTGCGTTGTGGTTAATCAAGTCTGTAAATAAACAGTGAATCTATTCAACTGAATTCAAATTCTACACCTGCGAATGAAGTGTACGAGTCAGGAGCTGAATGTTCTTATTTTTCAAACTATTCACTCCCTACTTAGCAGTAGGTAAGTCTGAAGATGAATTCAAGAGACGATTGGTCTGTGACGTGATCTAACAAACAGATGGAAATCCGAATACTTGATCAGTTTGAAGTATTTTTATGTTCTGAATATCAAGGTGCCGACTAGAAATAGGAAAATGGTGTTGTCTGGTTTGATCTATTTTCATAATGTACGAATTCCGCATTTTTCACCGAACAAAAATGCCTAGAATATTGGCTTATCACCGATGAATTGTCTATGTTATTCCCTAATTCAGATTGTGCGCAATTTCTATCCTTAATCGCACCAATTCATACTGAGTAACAAAAGTTGAAATCAATACTGGGAATGAGTAGAAGTTGTTGGTGTGTGTTGATGAGGTATGCTAGAGGGTGTGGTATCTACAAGTGGTTTCTTTTTACAGTATTCAGTCGTTATTGTGTGTTAGGTCGACAGAACGAGTGGTAAATTTTATATCAGAATGCAACTGATCAATTTTCACTGCTACTCATCATTATAGCAATGAAAACAGACATTCATCGCGACAATTTAACATCAATCCACATTCTACGGACCATCATCATTTGTGATTAATTTTTTGTAATAGTTTCTTGTGCAACTAATAATCATAATAATAACACTGTTGATTTCATCCGTCGTCTTGTTGATACTGTACAGTTGAATTAAAAAGAAATTCATTATACTCGTCATGATTCACAGTAATTATGAATGATTGCTTGTTCAAGCCATTTTGTTATTACTGCTGTCACATTGCATACTATAAACTATACTATAAACTATAAACAAACGAACAATTATTTCAAAACGATTCATTGACAATATGGAAATGACAACGAGAGAGAGAGAGTATGTGTGTTTGTTTGTGATGACCGTCCCCAACATTCACAGATGTATCAGTCACACACACACCCACTGTTTAGCTGACAAACACATTGGAACACTTGATTTGCATAACTGAACAACTGTTCCCTGTAAGAGTGAACATAAACGATCAACAAATGTGGATGATAGGCGAATCAAAACACTTTCGAAATTAATTGACAGTTAACCGACCTCTCATTTACCATCCCTCCTACTTTACACATGTACACACACACACACACTGTTCAATGTACATTGTTTCGAAACTTCATCATCATCACAGGTATCAATAACCATTATTATTATTATTAATATGAAAATTCCTGAATTCTTCTTACATTTGACCATTAATTAACATTCAAACCGATTTACACTAACACAAACTACGCACACACACACACACTGATATACTTGACATGAAAACTTGAAGCAAGTTTAGATTTCAGTCAATTATGATTACATCATCGATAGTCATTAATAATAATCACAATAATAATAATAATAGTAATTATTGTTATTACTATTTTTATTGTTTTCTAATGATAAGTTGAAATTAGAAGATGAACACACCAGCAGGAGCAAACATTCGAAATAAGGACAGAAATGGATTGATACATCATAGTACAATAAAACGGAAGAAATATGAAACGAATTTCATTTTCATTCATCTCAATATCAATTAATTTTGTGAAGTGGCGTTGTACAAGTGGACTTGATCAAGTTTATGATAAGAGAATACTTTACAAATTGAATAGCCTGGTTTGTGATGTCGTACTGAATCATCCATACACAATATCAGTTGTTTTCATCTCTCTTAGACTTTGATAATACCAGATGTACACTCCTATTTCACTCTATCTCATCACCAGTTGAAGGCCGAAATGAGAACAGTTATATTTGAGTAGATTGACACAGAATGAAGTCAAAGAAAGGAATATGACATGACGATTTACATTCTCGGTCGTGTGTGATGATTCACACGTGTAATCAGCTCGATATATGTATCTAAATTTACACAGTTCCTCACCAACATTATACATTTTGGGTAGCGTGAACAAAGAAATTGATGAAGGGAAATGGTGTGTGGAGTGAGAATAAGATATGGCACTTATGCTGCGATTCCTATTCAAAGTTCATCACAGCAGAATGAGGAAAGGGTAGATGATTGTTACAGAATTATCAACCGATTGAGTCACCACTGGTTACAATGGGTCATAGGTATTCTAACAATCAATCAAACTAGAGAGAGTGTGTGTGTCAGATAGCTTATGTGTTACGTAGATTGTAGAGCAGTGGTTTACTCGGATTCCAACTTTGTAGAAGTTGATTTGAAGTGCTACTATATGCAACAGGTAGTTGAAAGCTGATGGATTCTACAAATAAGTAGTCAAACTCTTTAATTGGAAGTGAGTTGATGAGTTTACAACAATCCATGGTTGATCAACACGTGATTTTAAATAAGTCTGATCGATTCAATAGTTTAAAAAAATATTTTAGTGGACTAATCAGTGTGACCTGAAATAATATTCAAAAATATCCTATATGGGAGATTGAGAAGTAGTATTTCTACCAGATGACAGGATGATTGGAATTCGATCTCAACAAAATCTGGTCATTTGTTCGTCATTATTGATCATAGCTTTTCATTCATTTCTGCCTGTTATTTTTTTATTATCGACCTATTGGAAAGTGATTTTATCTTTCTCAATTGTTTCACTAGACATTTTTAATGAAAATGTCATTTTTGAGAGTTGGTTAATCACATTATCAAATTAGCATGATGGTACATCGGTATGAAAACGAGAAAATGTGTATTTCAGCATTATTGGAAATCCTGTATTCCCTCAACTACAGTTTGAAGAAATAGTCTTTAAACTGTTCGTGTATTTACCACCTAAACTTGCAGTACATTCAGAGCGTTATTCAGGAAAAAAAGTAGAACAGACCATAATGTACATCTCAATACTATTTGGAATGATCTCCTACATGAATTTCAGTTGTGTGACAGTATACCAACTACCTGCCCATTCAACATACTGATTTACAATCACTTACACAGTACAATAATAGAGGAGGATTATTCATGTATAATGAATGCCTTATTCAACAATCCATTATTCATGGAAATCAATAAGAAATATCCAATTAACTACACACACTTACCGATGTAACTGAAATTCGGTTTCGGTTCATCATCGTTGATCAAATCACATGAATTGGTATTGTGAGTTTGTAATTGTGGTGGTTGTTGCTGGTGTTGTCGCTGATGATGATGATGATGAAGCTGATGACGATGTTGATTGTTTCGGTGTCGTTGTAGATGATTACGATGTGTTGCCTTCATTTTGACTGCATTCATAGTGTCATTCAGTTGAGTAGATGGACTGACATTGTTCACATGTGCACTGTTCCATCGATTCATGTAATTGTGATATGGAGTGAATAAGGAATCAGATTGTTGTGTCCCACAATGAAGATGATTATTATTATTATTATTATTATTATTATTATTATTACAATCCACATTGTTATAATGAATCGTATTTGAATGAATCGGTGATGTTTTCAATAAACTGAATGGATTTAATTGAGGAGGAAATGAATGAGAATAATTGTAGTTATCCAGTGAGTGAATCAAAGATGTGGAAGAGGTAGAAGTCGTTATGGGTGACGAGATCATTTGTACAGTTTGTGATGTAGACCAATTTGAAGTCGGTGGATGGCTAATGCTGTGATTTGTGTTTAGACTATTATAATTTTGATGAATAATGTCACTGTCATAAGTTTGCATAAGTTGATGATGTTTGAAGAAGACAATTGATGAAATCATATCATTGTACGCCATGATTGAGAAAAGTTGAGTTGTGTGAGTGAATCTAATCAAGATGGCGTTTGATAGTGACAGTAGAAACTTTGTTATCGATGTTATTCAATTGTTCACAGTGTCATTAACCTGATCAGTAGAATATGAAGTGTATGTAAATCAGTTCTCGATGTCTACTACTACACTGAACACTTTCGCCTTGTTCATACAGTGCAAATGTGACTACTGTTTGTTGTATATCCCCGCAGTTTGTCAATCAAAACTCAACTGAATTATTTAGATAAAAAACAGTTAAATCACCACTCCGTTGAATTCAGTCACATCCAAATCAACAGGTTTATGTTTTTCGTCATTCAAAACTGTCTTTTCATTTGTTCTCACTAAATTGACCAATGAGATGACAGTGAGGTCGGATGCATCATTGGTTGGTTGGTTGGTTGAGAGGAGAGAGTAAATACAAGTGAGAGGAGAGATAGCATAGAATAGCAAAGGAGAGAGTAGAATATTTTGGGACAGTGTGTGTGCAACTTGTTGTTCTATTATTGTTGTCCACGTGTTCATGATTTATTTTGTTCCGCAGGGGATGATCATGGATTGATGATTGTCTCTGATGGCTGTTTATTGATTGTCTGTCTGCTTGTTTGTTTGCGTGTTTGATTGTTAGAAATTCGTCTTCATCAACATCATCATCGTAGTGAAGAAGAGTTGGTTGTGTGTGTGTGTCTGTGTGTGATAGAGAGATGTATATGATCTGTTGACTAATGAAGATAGACGTTTTTGTAGTAGAATAATCCCATCCATTTGACTTGATTAGTGTCATTGTTCTTCAGAATTACTGTCAAGCTGAAATGCATGCAGATTCATTGACTTGTGCGTCGTGTGTTTGTGTGTGTGCATAATAGTGACAGTTTTCGAGGCACCAATGATTGTCATGACGTTTTGGATATTTCACTGTGTACTTCTGCATTATCTACGCATCATTTCCTTTCCATTTCTGATGTATGTGTGTGTGCACCTGTCTGATGAGGACTGATCAAAATGAAACGACATTAAAACATTACATTTGATGTTGAGTAAACAGATACTTTCATGTAATTGTGCAATATGAAACGAGTTACATAAGTAACTGTAAAGTCAGTCAGTCAGTGACGATGATGAAGATGATCTGTCTGTATTTTATCGGTATGTGTATTTTGAGTCGATGAGAGTTGGACTTAATTTTCAGAGACTTTTTATGAGTAGATGCAGGGTTGATGTGAATGAGCGACGATTGGATGAATCAAGGTGACAGTGAGGCTGAAACATATTATGATTTGTTTCATAAGTAGTAGTCTCTATTTTAATTAAAAAATCACCTGATAGACACTTCCTTCACTAGAAACAGGTGAACTTTCAGTATTAATCAATAACTGTAATTCATTGACTGAATATTGAACTTTGTCTCTTACAGATTATTCTACATGTGAATGTATAGTGCAGATATCTTCCCTATAAACTGTTGTTTGATAGTTTTTATCAAGCGAGCAATAATACTTGCGATGTACACAATGATTTTCATTTAATGTCATTTTTGACATCCTTAATTATGCTTTAACGAGGTTTCTGAACAAGAATGCATTGTATCACTACAACTACATTACGCAATAAACCATGATAGAACTGTCTCCCCCTGTCTCTCTCTGCCTCTCTCGGTAATTCGATATTTTTGACTCTTATTCTAAACGTAATCTTTATGTGTACAGTTTTTGTCTTGTGA